TGGAGAGGACGCGGTCTGTGTTGGTGAGGAATGAGATGGATAGACCATGGGCAAGCGAGCGTTCACGTACGGGGAACAAGGTAGTGTCATATATAACAACACTTAGCGAGTTTGTCGCGGGATAGTGAGCAGAGATGGAGGTACGAAGACGACGAAAGGTTCGAGGAGAGCGCAAGCATCTGTCAGCGGATCCCATGACCCCGGCAGGAGCCGAGTTCAGGCACATTTACGTGGGATGTGAAACCAGAGCCATTTTCAAGTGTCGAATTCACGAGCGCAAGACCCACTACTAGCGTAGCGGGAATGAAGAAAGACCGTTTTCTGCTACGTAGCATTGGATAGTAAATACCCAATGCAGGCGACGGTAAGCGTTCCGCTTCATCTGATAAAGTCATCATAATGTACCGAGGGCTATTAGCGCAGACCGATCGGTGATTGCACAAGACTCATGGCTCAATCGAAGGATACCGCTGCCAGACGAGCCAACAAATTTCAATCTCGACGTTCGTACTGTACTATATATTTTATGACGCACTCTCGTCATATTCCTCTGGAGCACGGGACATATGCTAGTAGCATAAAGAGCTTCAAGATTCGTTATTAGGTACAGGAGGATACGGAAAGGTCAATGGACGCGGAATAGGTGTATAAATGGGTGCAATCGCAGAAAGGACTCGTAGGGTTCAGTGCAATGAAATCATGCGGATAAATCAATCGAGCGAGCACATATGATGCTACGCTTCACTGGCCTTCGTCCTGAATACCGCACTCGGAGCCTTCGGATGTCGTGAACGGCTTGTTGTCAACCGTCGAGAAGGCTTCGTGGTGTACGTCAATCTCAATGTTGGCCTGTATCTCCCATCGTTTTCAGTTGAGCTCACAAGCAAGTCATGAGGGCGCGCACACCTGTCTCTCCGCTTGGTTCAGAGTCGGCTTCCGGGTGACGCGTGGGCGAATGCCAGAAAGATTGTGAGCCATTCCGGTCGGTGTTATTCGCAAACCGGAGCTATGATGCTTAGTGATGGAGCGGGCATTGAGCCTGGATAGGGCGTGTTAACCAGATGCGACACGGGGATCATCGTCAGCCACGGCTTACGTAGCTAAGCAGGTGTTTGAATACACTAAGGTATGTTATGGTCAGCCACCTGCGCGTGTAGTTCGACGGGACGATGCCCCTCCACTCACGTTTGCAGACGAAAAAGTAGCTGCGGGCCGTTCAGTCGTCACTCGAATCAATCATGCTTGAATAGCTCACATAGAAAGAAAGATGAAGTTGCTTGGCATCACAAGAATCTACGATGTTCTGTGAGCCGGGTCGCGTACAAGGCACCGCAAACCTCTTACTGCGATCGCAGCCGACAGGCTGAAAGCGGACGTGATTGCACCCGTGTTGACACTGTAGGACGAGTCAACGCGCAAAAAGGCCATTACATCCGCAACATACCTGAATACCACGAGATGGTTGATCAGTCTTTCCGATGTCTGGAAACCCGTGCGCATCGTATGCAGATAAAAGGATAGTACAAGCGCAGCGATGACGTCGCCCACTGAGCCGATGATGAGTGCCACGGTCGCGATCGTCTTGATTACAGCCGTTTGAGTAAAGATTGGCAAAA